AATAAGTTATTGTTTTAAGAATTGAATTACATTTTATTAATTAAAAAACTTTGAATTATTCCAAGAAGAATGACGAAAAAATTTATAAAAATAATATCAATTTGAATTTTGAATTAATTATTTACGGTAATACCAATAATAAATTACAAATATACAGGATAAAACATGGATATACTTCCAGGATTTACCGTTATCCATTGAGCAATATGGAAAACAGATCACGGATATCACGTTAGGTTCCAATTTATTCCGTTGTGATTGCTCGCCACGTTTTCGTATACAATCTTGGTTCTCACGTAATTTAGATTTGATACATGATGTATCAGATATTTTTTGTATTGAAAATATTAGTCATGCAGTTCGCGAGAATGATACAACAATTCTTAGTGCTTATCCTCCAAATTTTGGCGAGGATATTTTCAAAATACCAATGACACAGTTTATCGCTACCGCTAATACGTTAGTGCCATTTTTTATTGCCAGCTATTTTTTAAATTGCTTTCGAATTTACTCTTACTTTTTATTTATTATCAAAGTTATAGGAAAGAGATAAGTCGATCTGATAAAATAAAATATAAGTTAAAGTTAATATAAATGACGAAAGTATTGCAATACCATTATTATTATTAATATTATTATTAATTACTATTTATTATTTATTAATTTTACTAATTATTTATTAATTTTATTAATCAATTTATTAATTTATCTATTAATTATTATTTATTAATAATAATTATTATAAATGTGCATCAGCTTATTCAAAAAACAGTTTAGCTTTACTCATAAGAAAATTTAGTATTATTCGAAAAAAAAGAGAAAATTATGGTACCTCACTCATAATATTCATGATACGAGGTCATACTATTTTTAGAACTATTTGTGCACCTACCGCAAGTGGCATATTTGGTACCGAAGGAACTACAAATTCATTGCTCATGATTATGGTACTATTTGCTGTAGCACTGATGACAACTGGTTTGATACTTCTAGCTGTGTTGTTCTTTCGAAAGACGAAATCAGCAATAGTACAACGAAGGTATAAGGTACCACCATCATTTACCGGTACACACACTACACCTGGTTCCAGTCCATTACCACTCATTCATTTCGATGCATTTATTAGCTATTCGAAGAAGGATGAAAAACTTATCATTGATACCTTATACAGGTATAAAATTTTAGAACTTTTAGGATTTATAAACAGGAAAAGGAAGGAATTTTTGGTATAAATGAAAACAAATTTCAGTATGTTTATTATTATAAAAGAAATTTTAAACTGTTTTAAATATAAATTAAATTTTTTGCAAAAAAATCATCTCTAAGAAATAATTTCATCTGTAACATAGTTAGAGATCGATGATTCAATAATTAAAATTTTCCAGAAATTTAGATTACATCTATTGTTTTTAGACAACTTGAATCCGAAGAGTATATTTTATGTCTCTTACATAGAGATGGTCCAAATTATAATTCTCGAGTGCATACAATATCCGATGAACTTATTAATCAAATGGAATGCGCTCAATCTCTTATACTCGTCCTAACTCAACACTTCTTAGATAATGAATGGAAGACATTACAGGTATCTTTATTTTTATACGTATATTACAGTAATTCTGAAATTACTAACCCATCAAAGGTATTGCAGTAGATATGTCTCATTTGGCATTAAATAATTGAAAACAATAAATTATGAAAATTGATAGGATTGTCTAATAAATTATAATATAACTAATTTGTTAGATTACACATTTCCATGATGATATAACATAATAAATAAATAATTGATTATATTATTGCTAAAACTTTTGAAACATTCAGAAGCTTTCAATTTTATTTCAATGAAACTTTGATAATATTACTTCCCTTCTTAATCATTTCTTTTTCAGATTAAAACATCTCACCAAATTTTCGCTAAAAATCGTCACAAAAAATTAATTGCATTACTCGGTGATGGAATTGAACCCAATCAATTGGATGCTGAATTAGGTCAAATTTTACGCAAAAATACGTGTATTCGAATGAATGATCCATTATTTTGGAATCTGTTACATTCAGCTTTACCTGTCCGAATAGCACCATCATCCTGTAGCGGTGGTTCATCACAAATTTATTCCGATTGTTATGGTAGTATTGTGCCTAGTGATATTGTTTAATTACTTTTATCTGTAACAATGTCATCGACATATCCTTTAATATGTCAAGGACTTTTTTCCTATGTATTTTGTTGAAAATATTGATTGGTACTGCCTCATGGAAAGACCTTAAATTTGCAAAAAAAACTTTCAAAAAGTTCTATTCTCCCCATATGTCTTAAAATTCTGATAAAAATTAATTACCTTTAAAAATAGTAAGTAACAAAAAAGGAAAATACAAAAATTTTTGTAGTAGCATTTCGATTTTAAATTTTAACTTACATAATGACCTATTTAGAAATCGAGAAAAGAATAATGGACTAATTAAATTGAAACAGTAAAAGTTATAGAAGTCTTTCAATTCATTTCAAAAATAAAAATTATCTAAAAAGACTTAACCTGAATCCAAATCAGTAGTACTACATAAAATCCAAATAGTACCATTAATTTCACCAAATTTGCTTTATTGATATCATTGCTCTTCAATTCACGGGTTTTTATTTTGTAGATATTATTATACTATTATTGTTGCTAAACGATAATATTTCTTTTTTTCTTTGATTTTAAATTAAAACAATTGCTTAGAGAAATAAAGATTCAATTTTAGAAGTTAACAAATGAACGTATGAAAAAATTACCTTCTTCACCCCACTCAATCTTTCTTTCAAAAGATATTCGATATTATCATAGAAATGTTTATTTAAAGAGGATAAATACATCTTAGGATTTTAGAAGTGATAGAAATATATTTCAAAAATTTTCTTTCTTTAAACAAATACCAAAAATCATTTAATTTTTTTTTACTTTCTAATTTTATAAATGTATTCTGTGTGTGTTACTCTTATTTTCCACTGTTACCCAGTGTTTTACCTTTTTGTCTGAATAAAATATCATAAAAGGATTGTTACAATACAGTAAGTTAATCAATTAATAAAAGTTAAAGTTATTTTTTGGAAAGGCCTTTTTGAATCCTAAAAGGATTTAAGTTATATGCCTCACTCATATCAAATGAATGAAAACCGAAATTTTTTGAAAAAATTAGTGTATGCTGAAGTTTCGAACTTCAAACAAGAAATTGACAATATCTTATGAGATGCTTTAAAATTATAAGAGGTTTATGAAAGTAAACTATTTTATTGAACTTTATTTAAACGTGAAATATTTTAACAAATTCAGGAGTGATTAGGAAATGAAGTCTTTAGGATATATGGTCCAAGAAGATCTAACTAACTAAAAATATAAAAAATGAATTAGAAATTAAATAAAATAACAGTGCTAAAGTACTATAATAAAACTACCCTGAGACATGAAAATTAAAAAGAAATTTCTAAAAGGAAAACTCAATTATTTCGAATGCAGCTTAATTATTTTCTACATATTCGAAAAACTTATCCAATTCTTTTCGTAGGTTTATAATAGTTATTATAATAGCTATTATAAAACCCTACATAAGGCTATTATAATTTATAGCTAATTGCTCGTTTTTCTTATTCACTCCTTCTCTTCTCATTTTTGGTTAATTAATCAAGAAATTGACCTTTCTTTGAATTACTAATTCTGGTGATCTTTAGAAAGCTTGCATTCAAATTTAATTAATACATTCAATTAACCTTTCAAGATTTTTTGCTGGCCATTCCATCTTAAAAAGAAAAGAACAAGTATCTAAAAACGCATGCAATATAGCACTTACCATACATATTCGGTCCTTCTGGGCCATAATCCGCTTTTTGATTCCAATACTTCAAAGAAACATCATCGATAGATGAGCCAATAAAATATTCCAAATTTGCGATGTGAAAATCGAGTATTCTTTTATCCATTTCATTCATGTAAACGGTACTATAAATGAAGTAATGCTAAATAATATGAATTATTGATTTAATTTTTATTAATTTCTGGAACCACATAACTTCTTCTATTGCTTCTGCTAGAGGCATATTTAATATTTTTTGTTTACTGATTTTTTCCATGTGATCAATCTTTTGTGGATTGTGAGGAATCAAACATTGCTACACTTAAATTTATTTTAATTGGACTTCGCTGATCAATTATTTTTTAAAACATTATAAATTTACACTTTTCATGTATAACTTCATTTCTTACATTTTAATATTTGATATTTTCTATTTTTCTTCAAAAAAAAATGTTCAATTTGGAAAAAAATCTATTTTCCTGCCTTTTGTTGTTAATCTTTTATTGTCTTTTCTATACCAACAATATTATGCTTTCCTATTTTAATGTAATTATCCAATGTATCTAATTAACATAAATATATGCAAACATATGGAGAGGTATGATTATGTTTTGACGCAATTCTTACCCTCCATTTCTTTTCCCTCCCTCTCAAAGGATACGGTATTTCACCAATTATTACCAATATTATGACCTTTGGTACCATTTTTATTAGCATTGAAAGAGGAGAGAATTCTCAGAGGAAGCTAAAGAAGATATGGAAAAAGAAGATGAGGCAAAAGTGAACAAAAGATTATACGAGAGGTCAAACATGAACGTAAGTTGTCATTGATGCAATCTGACACTATAATAATTGTAAACAGAAACAGACGGACGGACAAATAAAAACCTGGCCAGAACAACAGATTGTCAATACTTCGGAAGGGATAATTAAACATTATCTGTCTCAATAGAATTCAACTATTTCCGAAATGAACAATAATGCAAAGGTTAAGATATAGCAAAAACATGCTTTTCACTAAACTTATATCCTTTCTTGGTGAAAAAAAATGTCCAACACATGATGTTTCATGTAATTAATCATTTAAAACTGTATTCTGTTTTCAAGAACACCAAATGAGATAATTAGGAATGAAATGAAATAAGCTAATTATTTCCGAAAAATTATTCTGAGAAAAACAAAGACTATTTTCTAGATGTTCTGAATTTTACTTTTTATAAACAAGTAGCTGCATCTTTCATGAAAAGAAAAGAATTAATAAGCATATGACTAGATATGCTATTAATGGTAGCCATCTAATCAAAAATGATATACTTTAAGAATGATTATTTCATATTTCAGTGCGTAAATACCGCGCATTTTCACGAACTCTAAAGAATAACTCGGTGCAAGTAAAACACCCAACAGTAAAACCAATATATAAAAAGTGGAAGTAAAATTAATCGAGGAGTATATCCATTAGACAAATTTAGCCGTAACCAACACACCTTGGTTCATTTCTGGATAGTTCAGCCAATGCAACGTTGATTTCTCCCCTTTTTGATTCTAGCGATTCATAAGCCTAAAACTAGAGAAAATCTATATCAAAAGAAAAAGACAACTAATGTAATTTAAACAAAGTCTCGTGCAACTCATCAAAACTAAATCCTTTGTATAATACATGAATGACTAAATAACTTAATAAAAAAATCTAACTCACGTATTTGACTATCCCTCATTATTATTATTATTATTCATTATAAATCTCACTTAATTGCATGAGTTAATTTTTTTTCACTTTCCATCAGAAAGCTAAACCTACAAAGTTATACAATGTGTTTGGAAAAAGAAAATTTTTTTTGCCCTAAGATTTATATTATACGGTGAAAGGAACATTATTATAATATTACTAGTCATCAACTAACGGATCAGAATAGGCAATCGATTTTAATTTTAAGCCCAAATTTTACACGACCTGAATAGCCTCATTGATATCTTTGACGGCACATTTCAACATGATTTCATTTTCCATTTGTTCATCCTCGCTTAAATCAGTACAACCATCTTTCTCTTTCAGTTCTTTGTAGGCCGCATGTAATCGCATTATTTCATCTTTCTTGAGGACCATCTAAAAATACAACTATATTTCATTGAAAATTTTTCAGCATTTAGAGCTCTTAAATAGCACATCTGCTAAGGCATATATCAGACATAGCTATATGTAAACCTCTCGAAATGATATATGATGCCAATCATTAACATTTCAGTTTATAATGCTGAAACTTAGGAAATACTGCTAAAAATTCCTGCTGATTAAATAAATCGGTGCTTAAAATGTATCACATGAAAAAATACATAAAGTACAAAGTGAATAAGTGTTTACCGTGTCTTGGACGACTTTCAGCTTATTCAGAACATTTTCATATGATGTAAAGTAAGAAATACGTCGGGTTTGCAGTCGATAATCTTGTTCTCTGAAAAAAATAATGTATAAAACCCTAGTGCAGACAATTTTCAAAATAATAAAAAAGTCAAATAATACCATCTTGTTTAAAACAGTAAAGTAAAAATAAAATTTAAAAAACAGTTAATTTTGCGACAGTTTTATTGCTGTATCAAATGAAAGCAACAAAATTTCTCATTCTCGAAAAGTTTTAATAATCTCCATATGAGTTTGGCCACATATGTTAAAAAATGCATAGAAAGAAAGAATTTTACATAATGTATACTCCATACTATAAAGCAACATTAACACTGTTGTGTAAATGTATAATTCAGGAGGACTGATAATGAATACAAAACCAACAAACTGATTCAAGAAAAACCAACAAAACTAGATCCGAAATGCTATCTGAATTTTACGAACTATGAACAAATAAGGAGATGAGACATGTATTGACCATGTCAAAAAGTGAGTAATGGTAATGCATGGAAGAAATTCCGAATTCTTGTCACAAAATTAAAATTAAAAGCTTTAGACTTACTTTAACATGACAGTGAAAGTTTCGCCTAAACTTAATTTACGTCCGTTGATTTCTGTAATTCCTTTAACATGCGCCATATATGTTGAAGTAGAAATGATACTGTTAAATGCGCGCTCAACCAGTCGTACTCGTCGAGGTTCTATCTTAAAAATCATTTTCGAAATAAAAACAAATGCATTTAAATATGAAAATATATGATGCATCACGAAATTTAAAATAATTTACCTTAAAATAAAAGCTTTTTGTTTGAAAGAAGAAAAAAATTTCAATTCCAATTCAATTGGTTTTTTAATTCTCATATAAACAGAATGTATTCATAAAATGTGGAAAAATGACATACTGCTTTGCCAGTATGATCATATATTGGACATTGATCAAGACAAATAGGAAGGCATCTAACTTCAAACTGTTTGCATAGTGTCATTAGTGGATTTCCATCTGAAACAGATCAAACACAGTTAAATATAAAAGTCAAACAACTTTTGGATTTGTAACAGTTTGTTGCAAAAAGTTGCACAAACTCCTTCCTCAAAATTTATTCTATCGTGAAAGAATACTGACAACTATCAGATTAGGTCAAAACAAACGAAAAATAACTTCAAATAATTTAAGTATAATTAAAAAACTTGGCTGTTATCACCCAGTCAGTAGTGAATTCACTTGTTTAGTTAAATGAAATTGTACTTTTTATGGAGGTAGTAGAGAGCTAACTAAATAGCTGAACCATCCTAAACATCCTAATAACATATCACTATCAACTTCGTTTTCTTCACAAGCGCATATTATAAGGAATATAAGGAATTATAAGGAATTTTTTGCACGACAGTTCAGCAGCTACAGAAACTCATTTTTTTAAACCGAATTATAAAGTACATACACGTTCCATAAATTAAGGATGCGCCTAACTCCCCAACAATATGATCTCGATTTTTGTTTTCCGCACCTGCGATGCCAATAAGTGGTTTGATATATGTCGATATACGACCACCAATTCGAGACTGAACAAGATCTTTTTTTCGTTGCAATTTTAAGACATCAATGTCTATACGAAGCACTGAGTTAGAAATGGACTAAGATATAAGATTAGGTTAGAATAATTTCGATATTCTAATCGAAATTAGAATAATTTCGATATTCTATTTCGATATTTCTAGTAGTAAAAATGATTTGTTCACTATTTGAAAAGACTGAGATATATTTTTAGCTCAATTTTTGAAAATTCAATTCAACAAATTTCTGCATATAACAAAATATTAATCCTAACTTAGGTTACTTTCACTCCAGCATTAGAAAATCATTTCAAATTTCGAAGTTGCGAAAACCGTGAAATTTTTTGATTGTTTAGCTCTAGCAAAACAGAACAGGCATATTGTATGCTCAATAAATCATTTACCCTAGCTTCTAAAAGGATCACATCTAAACCGAAGGATTTGAGCTGTCGTGCCGCAATAATACCAGCTATACCAGCACCAATTACAATAACCCGTTTTGGAAGAGTTTTCGGTGGAGCTGAAACAATGTTCTTCCTTTGCAATTAGAAAATTTTAATACCTGAACAATTGGTGCTATTACTGAGAACAGTAAAAGCATCAACTGTTAAAAATTCAAAATTTGTTAAGGCATGTTAAGGAAAATCACTGTTTTCACTACGTTACAAGCATTTTGAGAAGGCAGCATTATTGTTTGAAAACGGATATGAAAACGAGAAATATCGAAATCCTTCAGTAGGGATATCGTAACATATTAAAATATAAGAGAAAGTTTAGTAGCATTTTAAATATTTAAGTGTATATTAAGTTGAAAAAACAAAACAAACTGCTTAAATTTCTATAACCAAACGCTAAGACATTTTGATTCAGACATTTCCCGGAATAGTCTTAAATTTCGAAATTTGTCAACTTCAATTACGTACCAGATAAGCGATTGAAGATGCCCACATTTATGTAACCAAAACGTTGAAGGAATTCATGAATGCGGCGAACAAATAATGGGTCACCTGAAAAAATTCATGACCCGAATTTTGAAAAAGAACAAATTCTAGGAACATTTTAATTCGCTTTGTTAAAAGAATCATATTTTTACTTGAAATTTGCAGATGTTAGACTAAAACAACCTTTTGAAAAAAAAAATTCGATAAGATCTGAAAGCTTGAATGTTTATTAATAAGTAGGCAGTGGAAACTTACTATCATATGGTGGAGATAAATCACTCATAAAATCGCGAAGTGTAAGTTCCATTTGTGGATTTCGATGCCACATTTGTAACTGAAATATATGCAGAAAAAATTATTTGCCTCGAACAAAATATTAGACATTTGTAAAAATTTAAAAAATTATATATTTTATAATTTGTTTTATGTATAAGAATAATTTGTTTATGTATAATTATTTATGTATAATTTGTTTTTTATATATGTTTTATGTAAAAGATGTATAAGACAAGGAATTACCAATTTGTTTCTTAAATACAAATATAAAGCAGTACTCCCACGATTCTTCTTTAGCTCCGGAAATGCATTCATTTCTTGCGTTGTTGGCCGATTAGATAACAAACAAGATCTGCTAGCAGCCAAATGCAGAGCTACAAAAATGTGTACAAAATCATGGAATAAGATAGATAAACAAATTGATTTTATGAAAAAGGAAGGAACATTTAAGTAATATAATTCTTGAAGCACAAAGTGACTCTATGTTTTAGAAATTTAATAATCATAGAATTCTTAAATTACTTAAAACTTTGACCATTTCGAATTATTTCTCTACCAAACATTTGATAATTAATAGTGTTGCTGTTATGAGTTATGACGACGATCCCGATCGTAATCACGTAATGTAACTGTTGTATGATATTATATAATGATAGCTTGTTTGATCATTACCAACATCATCATCTTCCCACTGCATTATGTCGATATTATCGTAACTTGTTTCAAAATCATCCACTCCATAATGCACCCGGTTTACCGCATGGCTCCGCAAGTTACGTCGCATACCACTGGAACTTGATGCTTCATCGGCCATCTTTCTGAACCTACGAACGGCTCATGTAAACATTTATAAAGATTACCAGACACATCAACTCAAATCAGTACTTTTGTGCTCCCTATCAATTCTACTAATCAATACCGTCGGCAAAAAAATACTAACTGGTTTCCGGAAAGCTTTAAAATTCCTCACCATCCTTTCTAAAATTACTAGTGGAAGATACTATAATCAGAGAATTCCTAATTGATAATAGCATTAATTTAATAACTGCTTTCAGGACTGTGCTTAGATACAAAGCAAAAATGTATCTTTACGACTAATAAAATGCCGTATTTACCTCGAAAAAGAATAACCTGTTCAGAACATATAAAAAAGCAAGAAAGTAATACTGTCGACAAATCAAAAAAAACAACTTTACCCGGAAATAACAAAGCAATTGACAACAAAAACTTTATTGCGAAAAAAAGTGAGCGAATACACGGGTGGTGGGTAAATCAAATGATGTCTCATACGGGTGGGTTTATAAATTTTATCTATACTGTTCAAAAGTTTTAAAATTTCAGACCATTTCTGCAAAGCACCACCGCATACATTTTTTTATACAAGAATAAACGATGTAAAGTAAGCTGCACAAGAAAAACCGTAAATATAAGAAACAGAGAGAATATGCAGCTCTTCTATAAAATTTCGTTCTCAAAAATTATATTGAATTTCGTACAATAAAGACAAAAACACGAAATAAAAGCATAATATATTAGTTAGAATATGAGTGATAATATGAGACTTGTAACTTTTTCCAGTACCTTTAAATTTCTAGGGACTATATACCTCATGTTAATTAGAATTTAACAACCAACCATTGAAATTGGGCAAAAGGATTGAACTAATTGTAAAAATAAAAAAACCATACAAAACGGAAAACAAAGAAAATTTGAGCGCACTTAGAATGAAATAATCATTTTAAATCACATAAAATGATCGGCATAATCGTCATATTCGTCAGCTACATAATCGTCATACAAATCTTTTTTTGATTTGGCCGAAACTGCATTTGATTTGCTGGTGGTTCTTATCGTCGGTTTCGTTGATGCACCTTTTCCCTTAGCTTTCTGAAATGATGATTTATGATTTTTTTTCTTCAACTGCTTCCGTCGAATGAATGCCAACTCATTACTGCGGGCCAAAAAAAGCACATAAAAACAGTAGCACATTAAATGTAAAATGAATCATTAAAAATTTTTTATCTGTCTTTAATTAGCAGCCAGCATAGCTGAAAATGAGGCCATCAGCAAATTGCAATTTATGTAATTAAAAAAGCCCACTCCAACCACCCTGTAGGTTTCGCCGTGGAATCCGTATACGAACCAGCTCATTAGCCGTCAATCTAAGTTTTGGGGAGTTGTGTCATTAACCGCTAATCAAGTTTGACTATTTCCAGTAACGTTTTCACATTTACTTGGAAATATCATGATGAAGCATCCAAATGGATTCCTAAAAGCCTGATCATAGAGTGAAAAATTCAAAGGATCTACAGAATTTGACAAATCAAATAACCTTTTCAGCTGCCGTCTTTTCATCTGCTATCGTTTTCAAAAGCGAACTCAAAACCCTTGCTTTGCTCGCATCCACTGAAATCTTCTAACAATTCAATATTTAAAAAGTAAGTTCCAACTGTCGAAATAAATTCCCTGACTTTACACTGCAAACTTAACGCTTTAAGATAAAAATTCAGGGCATAAAGGGTCCCTACAATAAAATCATTGGAATGGATGCTATTTTTTGTCCTTGATTAGTTAATTTAAAACCTCATGATCCTTGTCTTAAAATCTGCACAATATTTCACGTTTCCTCACTTCACTTTTGCTAATAATGTAATTGCTCGGACTCAAAGTTATTAAGAAACAAACTATAGTTGATTTAAAGAATACGCCCAAAACCTTCCACATTGAAACTTACTATTTGAAAGGACAACTTTGAGAAGTGAAATAAGCATCTCGGAAAAATGGGTAGCATTTGATCGCACTGAAAGCATTTTGCCAATGTTCTCACCAAATGTTCTAAATTCGTCCAAGGAAGTTAATTCTGCATATGTCAGAGGCTCATCTTCATCAAGACCTGCAAAAATTTTGCAGATGAATTGTTGATATTTAGATATAAAGAACAATTACTATAAAGACACAAGAGAAAAGTATAAAAAATAGACTAAATTCTTCACATAACAAACATAAATATCTGCAAAACTTAATATAGCATAAAAACAAGTAAAAACATAACAGTCAAAGATTGAGAAGGCTACATAAATATTAAAAACGTACCGAATAAATCCTTTGCAAGCATCAAATCAGTTTTCCTCTGCAACTGTTCTCTTTCTTTTTCAGTTAGTTCACGATTCAAATCAGTAGTGAAGCTGTTCAGTGGATCGTTAGTCTTCTTTTTAGACTTCGATGAGGATGCTGCTGATTTCGCTGCATGAAGCGGCTGAAAAGCAAAACTTTGTCATTTAAAAAGAGGACTGCCTTCCAAATATTTCAACTTTAACGATGAGGTGATCAAGGCCTATGAAAATCTAATGGAAAAACTGGACAGAAATGAAAAAAAGCACAAAGCCTACAACTATTTCAAATAAGTCAAGTCGAAAATGATTTCGCTGAATTTAAGAATGAACTGGTAGCTAAGTTCTTCGAAAATTTTTTAAAGATAAAATGCATAACTTCTTTATAAATTACACATACTTGATCCTGTTCCGGTTTGTCACCCGCTTCTTCGTCTACTACCGTATGCTTCTTCTCATCCAGCTGTTTTACATCAACCTCGAAATCATCATCATCTACAATTAAAATGCGTAACAACTGTTCAACCTACAATTTACATCCTTGATGTAAAAACAATAAAAGGCAAGAAATCCAAACTCTCTATATTTTCGACCTTTCCGATTTAAAATACAATCCTCCAATATATACAGCGCAAAACGCTGATCACCGCACATGCTTCTCATCTCCCTCATAAAAAAGAATAAGCGACTTACCCCAATCACCCATTTTGCTTGCCAAACGTTAATAATTCTGCGAACCTCAGTTGTTGCAAACTGTTGCAAATACTCACCACCTTCAATCTGAATTCACAAATAATGTTAATACAAATCGATTAATAACATCAATAACAACGAGCAAAAAAACATCCTTATTCACATCATTTCAACAAATCACGAATTATATCTCTTCATTAACTATCCCTCTTTCTCTTTCCTTCCTAACTATCCTATATGCGTTGTTCGAACAAAAGCAGACTTACAATGAATGCTCAATGGGACATTGCACAATTAGTGTAGTGAAATGAAGCTAAGATATCTCCAGGAGCCCTAAAATTAGATAATACAAATAAAAGTACTCCATCAGCTCCTTCTCATTAAAGAAATTTTCGAAAGTACTTTTGAGATTTTAAGAGGTATATGTAAACCTGATAAAGAATAGAACTAGAACAAGGAAACAAAAATATTTATCTGAAAAATACTACAACTACTTATCGAAACATTGATATAACTATCATAAAACTTATAAAGTTCTTTATTAACAATTTTTTTAGAATTAATTTTAATATAATCCTACACTTCATATATAAAAACCCTCTGCTGATTCGAAACTTAATCACCATAGAATGTACAAGTCTAAATATTTGCACTGATATTATTTGAAACTGATTAATACATCATTATTTTGCACATACATAGCATCTAATAACACAAGAAGTCCAAAATTTGTGTCGAAAGAAAGGAAATGTGCACCGTGTGATATCAAGCAATGTCAACGGACGAATGATTTATTGCGACCGGTATTTGTGTCATTGTTGTGACTAAGTAACTTCATGATTTGAATATTAGAGGTCAGGAAGCAGGCAGGAGATAAAAAGTACTAACAAAAATCTGAGTCCTTTCAAAAGGATATTTAAGCAAGTCACAAAACAGTCACAGTAAAGTATAAAAATATACACATTTTTACAAAGCAAAAGAAATACTAAATATGTTTCGAAGCACAAATAATCGTGACAAGATATAGTTTCAACAAATTTCGTTCAGGAAGTAAGGAAAAAAAGGCGTCAGAAAAAGGATATTTAAAGTGATCGCTTTACCTATTTACTAAATCGACATATATCTTTATGAAAACTTTTAGATAAGCAGTCCAAGGTATTACGAAAATCAAAAAGCAGCAAAAATTGGACTAAAATTTAGAATTTCAAATGAAATTATTCTAAAAACTGAACTAAAATTTTTATCTTGGATATTTCATATTCATCATTTCTCTTATTAAAAAACCCAATTCACTATTACCTAAGCGAATATCTCATTTTATTTTTTTTTATTTCATCGGTTCTACAAGGTGATGAATGCTACAATGAATCAAACTTATGTTATTAAGGATTCAGCTCAACATTTCGGTTGCGACATGATTGTGTAGAATTACAGACATTCCCTGAAAGAAACTTATGATACATCTTGGAATCCTCTCTGTATCATCCAAAGCTTAAATTTTTGAACTTGTAACGAACCTGAACTTCAATACCTAAAATAAAAATGTGAAAAATAAACAAACGAAACGAAAGAAAAACCAAGTGACAAACAAAACATGAAAAAGATGAATCATTAAAACTGAAATCCGTAACTCCATGAATCCATGACGATATACGAGATTCACAAACCAATCTCGAAATTTATTCTCTCCACCCGTAAGTTATAAAATGGTCATCACATCTATTGTATATCGATATCTGTGCATGTGTTGGTTGTTAGAGCTGAAGTAAGATGCTGACGTAACAAAGGTCTCGATGTCGCCTCGTCAGTAGAACTATCTAGAATAAACTCTGAAAGTAATGAATCCACCTCGGCGAGACCGAAAAATTTGGTTAAGGTCATATTTTCGATAAGTACTTGTGCCAAAGCTTTAAGAGCTGGTGCAAGCAGCAAAATATTGCCATAACGTGTTGGTGCTTCCTCAGGCATGTGCGCCAGAATGTAACAATATAGAACCTTGAGTATTCGATTACGGGCTTCACGTAATATCTGAAAAGGAATTTCATACTGAGTCAACGATATGATACATTTTATTCATTTCAACATGAATGATTCTCTTAATGATTAAATTTTTGATTTTTAGTTTCCAATGATCCGAACTTATTTGCTCTACTTTTCAGAAGTTCACACCTCGACTGCTATCGATGACATCTCGAAAAACGTGGTTTCGACTAATGTATCGAAAAATGTGCCTATTTCAAGCAGCACACTATATACTAACACAAATCTATATTTTTGGACTTCTGAATTATATGAATCTGCAATAGCTTCGCTGTAATTATAGCTTTTTTGCTTTTTTTACTGAAACATTTCACTATCACTCAATCCTCATATGACTAAGTGATAATCTTTCGCTGCGGCTCATAAAACATAAGTAACTATATTCACATGCTTATTTAATTTAGTAATGGATTTTTTTTTCTTTTCCTTTTACAAACAAACTTCTGAATTTACGTTCACTTGAGTTTGTAACGAATTATGCTCATGACTGTTAGTGTGCTCAATCATACAGCTTATCCGTTACTTTACCAACTTTAATGAACATTGAAAAACAAAAATAAAACGACCGTTTGAGCAGGTAGAGAAAGTCCTTTCGCTTCAGGATGAAGAAAAGCCAAAGCTTTCAAACAAACAAATTCCTCTTCTCTCATTTGCAAATGTCTCATTGGCCACACTATTTCATCCAACACGCGTGGCATAATGTTGCTTGTTTTGAATGCCGATAAACCTATCAAAATGTTCAAAACGCTCCTCTTTCTTAAAACTATAAAACTTCATAAAAATTGCGGATGATATCCAAAATCCTAAAAATTACAAAGAGGTTTGAATAACATTTATGAGAACACGCAGCTTGCATCGACATGACATCTTGACCTCACAGCAAACATTAGGCATGCTGATTCTCAAAGCATCTAGCAAAAATTATAACCGATGATAAGCATAGATGTCTCTAGACTCCATCTTCGACAATATATATATGGTATTGATTATTGATTGGAATATTGATTAATATAATTCGTAGCATAATCAAACCGTCAAATTCGATGTCCTCGTCGTGATTCATATCTTCATTACTGAAAAGACTAACAAGAGTTGTATCCGGTGAACGAAATGCCGGTACCAGAATCAAGTGTTGCGGCGCATAGTTTCTAAGTAGAATAACTTTGTCATCCATAATCAAGTCAGGGAATGGTTCCAAACCTTTTGCCCAATCAATCTGGAACAAACAACCTGAAAATGAGTGATTGCTTTCCAAATAACTTAGACATGAAATATTCTTGAAATTTTAAATCTAACAGGAAGGCATTTAATAAGTAGTTAAAAATTATTTCTATGAAATCATCTCCAAAAGAACATTGTAATCTAGCACACGACAAAAGAAAAATTCCTAAATACTAATCATTGAAGAATGAAGTAATCTAAAATCATGTTTTTCACTCCTATAAATTAATTGCTAACAATTTTATTGAGACTAGAATTTAAAAGCTTAATAATTACATTAATACTTTATTACAAACAATCAATCACTTTAAAATGAACAAAAATTATAATATGTTGAAGGACTAAAATGAATGATCGAAGAACTTATATAGAATGCTAATTGTTTCCATCTATACTGTCATTCATAATTAAGTCGGGGAATGGTAAGAGTGAAACGATCATTCTTCAAGTGAGTGTTCATCCATCAAGAGTAGAAAACGAATAGAGAGCCATTAAACTGCAAGACTTCTTGCTCACCTTACTCTCAGTTGCATATTGTTTCGATGTTTCATCATTAAGAGGAACCAACCATTAATGCAAGCGTTGTTCTGGAAAATTCGTTCAAATCATCAGTTGAGCACGATTTATGCGACTGCGAAAAACCCAATGGTGAGCAACCACTTTCATCCACACGATTATTGATTGTTGTATATGACGAACTGATCACCGAATTTCGATAATGAGTCGTCATTTCCTTATTAGTTCGTGCCTCCATCTGCATTAACAGTTCGATAACATCCGATTTCAAGATATCATTGATTAGTTGACTACTATAGTACGATGTTTCGGAATGGTCATTTCCCGTTCCATTAATTTCGGCAGCTCGTAATAATAGTGGTTCACTATGACGCTTAGTGCGACCAATTGAATCGCGTTCAAAATGAATTGCTAAAAACGGAATAGAATTTGAAACCTGACACATCAACGTTTTAATTCATTTAGTATTTGATAATAATTCGCCCAACAGAATTCATTTGGCCAAAATTCATTCAGCACAAATTTTCATAAACGTGTTTAAATTTTAATCATTAACTCTAATCTGATCATCAAATTGCCGAGTATCATTTGATGTCAACCTTCTCGTTTCATTCCAACTCGTACGCACTTCTGGAAACGACAATACCGACAAGCACATCGAAAATTTTTGTCGATTGTGCATGTCTTGTTGAAACGACATGTGAATTTTTGATTCTTGAGGATTGTTCGCCGGAAAAACCCCTATAAAAATAATTCAATAGATTGTTAACTAATACTAATTTTAATTAAGACAAAGTGCTTCAGTCAAATTTTTATTCGCTGAATAATTCAATTACTGAGAAATCAATCGTACAACAATTTTTAATTTCTCAATCCTACTGAGTGTTAACTCGATTTGAGCAAAGCATGAATACATTAAAATGCTGATGTAAATGATGTGATCTGACCTAACGCATTATAATCCAATAAAAAAAACTTTTGCCATATAAGTAATGAATTTATCAGCCAATGCCCATTATAAAACTACTTTCTACAAGTACGAAAAAAAGCATAAATTTTAGTAAATAACTGAAAAAGTGAGCGATAAAAATGATACCTTGCATCCATTGCACGAAAGCACTCCGTAATGTGTTCCAGTTGATTTATCGCCACAAACAGCGCACAGTTCACATAACGGAATCACTGCAAAAATAAAAGAGGCCTGCAGAAAACTACGATTTTTTTTCTCAACGAAAAAATGGCTATTCTTGTTTATCTGATAAAACGAAAAGTTCATAATAAAAATGATACTGAAAGAGAAAAAACCTGAAAAAAATATTTTAAAGAAATTTAATAAATGAAAAACTGATTAATCAAATAAAATCGAGTAGCCCTAATCATTCACTGAAACACGAATGACGATAAAATAATGAAATGATCTATCAATCCAATTATAAAACTACCTTCCACGAAAAAAGTATAGATTTTGATTCGAAAATGAATGTAGTAAAGGTAAGTAAGTGAAGAAACCTCACTGATAATTAGTGATTGAAATCATATTAGTCACTAAATTAACTAAACAAATAAATGAATGCCAATAGTTAAACCCTGTACAAGTTCACCGCATTTAAAGTTATAAATAACACGTTAGGAAATTTACCAAAATCCATTCCAATCCTTGTCGGACGAATTTGAAAAATCCACAAGTAACATAAATTGCAAATTTAAATAAAGTCTTTTACTAGATTACTCATATTTGTTTCAGTTCTCTAGCGCGTGACAGTTGATTTGAATAAAGTCTGAAAATCAGTTAAGTAATTCCATTATCACAATAATTAAGAAATAGATTGAATAGCACGAAGAGCACGAACAGAAAAGCACTTTCAAGTAAGAATTCAATAATTTATAACATTAATGAAAAAATCTCTACCGGAATGAAAAAATGTCCGGTTGCGCTTTTACTGCTAAATATAATAAAAACTCTGTGATTAATTTCATCTAACAATTGATAGAAAAGTATTACAATATATGGCGGTCATTTCAATGGTTAGATAAACAATTTTCTAAATTAAAAATGTTAGTTACTATTTGATAAAAAATGTTGAGATTGAATTCTATACGACAGATATATCAAAAGTGTGAAAGTTGTAAAATAAATTTTGATTAATCGAAAAAAACTAATCAACTCCGGCGAAGGTTTAGTTTAAGAAATTTTTAGTTTAAGAAAAGTTTAAGTTTAAGAAATTTTAAAACTTTGTATTCCCAAACGACTGTAGAATGGTTCGCTAAGAAGGGGCCATTTAAGTAGTATAATTGAGTTAACCTCATCAAATTTAGTTCAAGTTTAATTCAGTAAACTAACTCATATTTCAAGGCTTCAAATGAACTCATCGAATCAGAGATTGAATTCCTCCTGAAAATATCCCTGAAAAAAAGAGGAGAAGATTCCAAAAAGTATGCCAAAATAGAAAATAGTGTCTAAAATTTCAAATGAATAATAAATCACTGAAACAGTCATTTCAAAAAATCACCGGCTAGATAAGAAACACGAACCCGAATTGGTCAAAAAATAGAAACAAGAAAAACAAAACCGGATACGCATCAACCGATCCCTCTCTTATTCACCTTCGGACAACAGCTACTAATAGAACTTTAGTAGTATTGCATCTTATCTAGAACTTTCCCTATATGCTGTATGCTATTTCATCTCTTCTTTTACAGTCTAAACCTCTTCACTTATAAACTTTATAAAGTGCACATTTTCTTGAGTTCGACCGAATGGATTAGCAAGCTGCGGAAGTTACAGATGAAAAGTTTTGAGATGTTTTCTCTGGGGTATCTATAAAGGAGCGCGGAAGGATGCGGGTGGAATAAAGCCTGTTATAAAGGTAAAATATCTCTAAGAGAACGCGGGAGGGATGAATAAGTTTTAAAAGAGAAAGTCAGATGGTACATTTTGAAGGTAATGAATACCCAAGAGATTAATGTTTATAATGTTGCTTAATTAATTAGAGATGATTAAGAATGTAGATGTAATTAACGGATTTCTTCTTTGATCTGATCAGCATTTGATTCAACGATGTTAGATGCTTTCCTTTGATTTCTTCGAGAAGATTTTCTAATTTTGCTTTTGCCGGTTGCGCATTTTTAATTTTAATGATAGATATTTCCCAATTCATAGTACCAAAAATATGCTGTGAATTTTTTCTTTATGGAGAAGCTTATTCTTCTTGACGTTGTGCTACAATTAATAGGAAATAAGTGAGTCAATCAATTGCTTCGTCTTTTTTACCGTTGATCCGGGAAATGAATTTGGGATTGTTCATTGAGATATTGGTTGAGAGCAGTGTAACTTACTACTAAACGAAGTCTTGCCATCTACACTCCCTTAAACATGTAGATTTGCTGAAACGTGTCTTAAATACGCGGAAACGGTATTCGCTTGAACTATTAATTAGTGAAATATTAATTTTAATCCATGCTTCAGCAGTTCCGATGAAGCAAACTGTATGATGAAACAAAATGGTGATATTCCTGTAACCAGTGCTGCTCCTGAATATCAGCAAAAGTAAGTTGCGGAAAAGCAGTTTTAAATTATTGATTGTTCCATTTTCAATTTGACTGTAGCATTAGTAATTAATTTCTTGAAATGAATTATCGTTTATTGGTTCAGCTTAAGAAGTGAAGCATAAATTATTCTTGAGTCGAATGCTGTTACTTTTTTTCGATACTTTGAAGTGCCTAATGTAATCATTTGATGCACATTTCTGTTGAAGTCTTGCATGAATTATATAATTTCAGTTCTAATAATTTAGATGTATTCCTATTTTATCAGTTAAATATTTTATGCTCATTCTTTAAATATTTTGGAAAAAAATAAAGCTTAATTTAGAGACAAAACAGTTAGGGTTTACACATCCACATGAATTTATTAATCATACTTTCTAGGGCTGTGTGCAAAATGTGTCA